ATCACCACCACCACCACTACATGGTGTTCATTCAGTTTATAATTGCAGGTTTCCGTTCAACGGGAAGTCGAGGCGCGTACAGATAGTACAGATAACTCCTGCTTGCTTGTTCAGCTCAATTTCTCCTCTCATAGAGTTCAGACACCCCCCCGCTTTTTTTTTTTTTTTTTTTAGGGAATAGCCTAGGGAATAGCGCCACCCACAGTAGGCTGGGTCTTCCCAGGTCAGTCAGGTAAGGCAATCTCCCACTGACTCGTCCACAGCCCAAGCCAATGCAGACAGTCCCTCACTGACACTCTTCTCTTGCAATTCTAGGTTGTATCTAGTTGACAAGGCTAGCACAACACTCAAAATTTCTGCTGGACTGGAGAGCTTGTAGCGTGGACTGCAGTGAAGTTGGTGGTGACGTGTCCCCTGCCATGGTAGCCAGACATGCCGCTGTGGGCAGTGCTGCCTAAAGGAAGAACTCTAGATAGAAGGGGGATTAGAAAGAGCCTTTATCTGCTCTATCATCAGAAAATAAAAAGGAAGATAAGAGAAAGGTGCTAGCTTGCATATTCTACAGCCGACAGCTGTGTGAAGAGACCAAAGAGTTCAGGTCCACTCAGGGCTAAAGAGTTTACCCTGGGATCCAAAAAACACGGACCCCTTGGGAAAGGAAGAGGCGAGGATGATATAGAAGTTTAACTCTTAATTGAGAGAAGAGAAACATCTATAACCCAGCATGCAGGCAGACAGGGGGCTTAACAATGGCTACAAGGGAATTTGGTAACCCCAAAGTGTTCCCTTCTGATCTGCTGAGATTATGGGAAGTCAGGCAGTGGTGGCGCACACCTTTAATCCCAACACTTGGGAGACAGAGGCAGGGGGATCTCTGAGTTCGAGGCCAGCCTGGCCTATAGAGTGAGTTCCAGGACAACCAAGGCTACACAGAGAAACCCCATCTCAAAAATGAGAGAGATAGAGAAGATCATGGGGAAACTTGTATGCAGCTGTGGGAAAACCCTTGTGGTGTGTCTGCAGGCTATGGGAATGTGTGGTGTGGGCTGGAGAGCTGTGGAGAAGGTCGTGTACCCTCATACCTCCCTCTCACCGTGTCCCAGTTAACGTTAAATGCCAACCGGACACAACCCAGAATCACTGGGGAAGAGAATCTCAACCGAGGAATTGCCTGCGGCATGTCGGTGGGGGATTTTCTTTCCTTTTGGGGGCGAGGGGGGGTTTCTAGTCAATTGGTGTAGGAGGGCTCAGCCCAACTGTGGGAAACACCACTGCCTAGGGTGGAAATCCCAGGCTGTCTGAGGGAGCCGACTGAGCATGGTGAGCCACGCCTGCCTGCCTGCCAGTCAGTAAGCGGCAGCGTTCGTGGCCCCTGCCAACTTCTCTGGCTGTAAGGGGGGCTCCTTTGTTATAGTGTGTGGGAGAGCCAGCCGGCAGCGTGGGTGTGAACGGTGGGTGTGAACGGTGGGTGTGACTGACTTGAGCAGTTGTCTCAGGACGCTTCAGCTGTGACTCCCTTAGTGATGAACTGGTCCCTGGAACTGTAAGCCCAGTGAACCTTCCAGTCCCCGCAGTTTTTGTTTTTGTTTTTTTGTTTTGTTTTTTGTTTTTCGAGACAGGGTTTCTCTGTAGCTTTGGAGGCTGTCCTGGAACTCACTCTGTAGACCAGGCTGGTCTCGAACTCACAGAGATCCACCTGCCTCTGCCTCCCGAGTGCTGGGATTAAAGGCATGGGCCACCGACGCCCGGCCTTGTTTTTGATTTTTTGCTAAAGTGTTTTTCATCATAGCAACAGAGAGGAGACTAGGACACATCGCTAGCGTGATTTACAGCAGCATGAAGGAAGTCAGTCGTGTAAGACCTCTTAAATCCCGAGTCTGGGCTCTGCATCGTGTAACCAGCGTGGTGAGTCGTAAGCAATAGTAAAAGGTCTTAGAACACACAACCACCAAAACCTAATTGAGATTCAAAAGGTGTTGTGCATCTAAGATGTCTCTGGCCGTGCACGCTCTGGGTTTGTCACATGACCTCCCTGCAGCCTTTGCTGTGAACATGCATGGTGCACTCTTTATTTTTTTATTTTTTGTTTTAATTTTTTTAAACATCTATTTTTTTTAATGCATGCAGTGTTCTGTTTTCATGTATCCCTGCAGGTCAGAAGAGGGCACCGGATCTCATTAAGGATGGTTGTGAGCCACCATGTGGTCGCTGGGAATTGAACTCAGGACCTCTGGAAGAGCAGTCAGTGCTCTTAACCTCTGAGCCATCTCTCCAGTCCCAAGCAATTAGTTTTAAAGTAAATTACTAGTGTTTGATTTGTATACCTGTTTTATATACTAAAAGCCCAAGGCCATGTAAAAATATCCTGGGTGATGGTGGTGGTGGTGGTGGTGGTGGTGGTGGTGGTGGTGGTGGTGGTGGTGGTGGTGGTGGTGGTGGTGGTGGTGGTGGTGCACTCCTTTAATCCCAACACTGGGGAGGCAGAGTATATCTCTGTGAGTTCGAGGCCAGCCTTGTCTACATTGTGTGTGTGTGTGTGTGTGTACACGTGTACGTATGTACCTACATATGTGAGTGCAAGTGTCCACAAAGCCCAGAAAAGGTCCCCTGGAGCTGGGATTACAGGTAGTTGTGAACCCCCAATGTAGGTTCAACCTGAGATTGAACTAGGGTCCCCTGGAAGAGCAACATGCGACCACTGAGCTATCCAGCCATCCGGTGCCCCAGTCCTTCTAACTGGCCTCGTGTGGGCGTCAAGGAAACTGTATGCTAATGATTAATAGACATCCGAGTTGAACAAAGTGTAGCCCCTGTCCAACCCAGCTCTTTAGCCCCCCCCCGCGTTTCCCTTCTGTAAAAGACAGGCATTACCATAAGAGGGATGGCTCACTGTACGGTCTGCTTGTAATAACGAAAGCATGCCACACACTCAGCACGCAAACATCTGTGCAGTGGTTGCTGTCACTGCAGAACACTGTTGCATTACATTGTTGAAAACTATTTCCACTTGACGAAGATAGAAACAACAGGAAATGATCTGGACATGGAGGGCCGGCTCCCAGATCCGCTCCAGGGCACTAAAAAGAAATCCTCAGAGCAGGAAAGGTTTAGGGAAAAATTCTTACCTATCTAAAAAGGCTTTTATGGAAAAAAAAAAACAGGCTCACAGGATCCTAAAGTAACTTTATTATTGACTTCTTTAAAAACTCTTGTCTACAGGGGCGTTGGTGGTGCATGCCTTTAATTCCAGCATTTGGTCGGGAGGCAGAGGCAGGCGGATCTCTGTGAGTTTGAGGCCAGCCTGGTCTACAGAGTGAGTTCCAGGACAGCCTCCAAAGCCACAGAGAAACTCTGTCTACAGAAGAACCCTAGCCAATATAAGAGCTGCATATTGAGCCAGGCGTTGGTGGCACACGCCTTTAATCCCAGCACTCGGGAGGCAGAGGCAGGTGGATGTTTGTGAGTTGGAGGCCGGGCTGGACCAATAGCCTCCAAAACAATACAGAGAAACCCTGTCTCGAAGAAAAAAAAAAAAGAGCTGCATATTGAAGTTCATATAACATTTCTTTATTTTTGTGTTTATCTTTTCTAGACGGTTTCTCTGTGTAGCTTTGTAGACCAGGCTGGCCTCGAATCAGAGGTATGCCTGTCTCTCTCGCAGGATCAAAGGTGTGCGCCACCACCGCCTGGCTAGGAGTTATGTCTTTAATGCTATCTGCCAGGTTCATTTTTTTTTTTTTTTGCAAGTGGAAAACTAGCACTAAAGTTATTTCACGTCTGACCTTGGTAGACTCCTAGGAATTCGCCCTCGAGTAAGTACTTTGTCTCCAGGGCAATTAGTCTGTTTTGAATTTGCTGAAGTCTTAGCTGAAGGCCTGGCTGGGAAAGTATATTTTATTCACCAAAATGACACACTCTTAAGAAGAAGTCACCCTTCTGACAAACCACAGACATAATTATGCCCAGAAACTATAAAACATACCACCAAAGGTGCCACGGGCCACCCTAGCCGGGGATGGGGGGTCACTGGGATAAGGGTCCTCGAAGACTTGGTGGGTAAGGATTCGGTGGTGACAAACAGAAACAAACACAGAGGCAGTTTGAAACTGAGTGTGTTTTGCAGTTCTCAAGCAAGGCTTTTTTCTCAGATATTTTCTCAGTGGATGTTTTTGTGAAGCAAAACCAAATAGATGGCATTATTGTTACTTGGTGCAGTAAACGCAGAAATCTTCCAAGGCTAACCAAAACATAGAATCATCCACGGTGATTCAGAACATAGGTTTAACCAAAACAGAATCATCCAAGGCTAACTGCATATTTCTTTTTTTTTTTTTGGTTTTTCGAGACAGGGTTTCTCTGTGGCTTTGGAGGCTGTCCTGGAACTCGCTCTGTAGACCAGGCTGGCCTCGAACTCACAGAGATCCGCCTGCCTCTGCCTCCCGAGTGCTGGGATTAAAGGCGTGAGCCACCAATGCCCGACGACCATAAAAATTTTATTAACTTGATTTAAGAAATATGCAGTTAGCCGGGCGTTGGTGGCGCACGCCTTTAATCCCAGCACTTGGGAGGCAGAGGCAGGCGGATCTCTGTGAGTTCGAGGCCAGCCTGGTCTACAGAGCGAGTTCCAGGACAGCCTCCAAAGCCACAGAGAAACCCTGTCTCGAAAAACCAAAAAAAAATTTTTTTTGGTCAGTTATTGTTTAACATCTATTACCAGGTTCTTGTGGGCTTTTGAAATGTTGAGCTATTTTAACTCTTCTTATTGAAAGCTTTCTTTACCAAACCCTTAAGCCCACTCTTGATGACACATGTACAGCCATATTGTCAAGGTCCGGTTTGTGTTAGCCCCCGTTATGGGGCCATATGTCTCGGACTGATATCGTTGGGGCTGTGATTGGAACCATCTGAACGACCCCCCCCCCCCCGTCTGTTCCTGAGTGGGGGAGCATGGATGAGGGAAGGCTAGCGATGGGCGTTAAAGAAAAGACAGAGACATCTGATGCTAACAGGATGGCCGTCAGTTAGTACTGAACGTGCCTCAGTTTATTCATGTATCATCTTAAGTAACTGTCCAAAGGCGGGGACAATGGCAGAAGATGTATATATATTATCATGTATAAAGGGCAGATAGCAATTGTGGGGACGGCAGACCTTGGCCGGAGACCCGCTTCCCCATCAACCTAGGGGCTGATGTTTACTGAAAACAATCCGGTGTCCATAAGAAATGTTTACTGGAGCAAAAAGTTCCAGAAAAGGGCTCGCCCACGGGAACGCCCTGACCTCGACCTTTCCAAAGACGAACCACCTCTTCCTGACCCACCCACCACAGTCTGTGGTGTCAGAGCAGAACCAGCCAGGGGTAAGGGAGAGAGCAGAAGCTTTTCTTGAGGGAAGCCTTTCTTGGGAAGTTTTCTTGAGCCATGAGCTGACAGCTTGAAGGCTAGAGAAATTGCCTTGAGAACTACAGCTCAGTATTTTCCTCTGGCCAAGAGTTCCACCACCGGTTCCAGGAGACCTCCTTCTTTTGAAGCTATCCCCTCATCCTGTGGAACTTGTCACACAGAATCTCTTGGGTTTGGTGTGGCACAAAGGGGCGTGGAGGGAACCTCACAGCTGTCCTCATCAGGGAGGTGAGGAAAGGCACTCGATGGCCTTACAGAGGGGTCGACCAGAACTCCCTTGCTTAGCGGTTCTCAGCAACGTCTACTTGTTGGTGCTGCGTATCCTGAGTGGTCTCCAGCAAGGAAATGCCTAGCCAAGAATCAGATTCTTATTTTAGGCGGGATAGTCAGGGACTGTGGCTCATGGCAGCAGTGAGGGTGACAGGACGGAGATGTCCCTTACTGTCCGAGCTGGACCAGGAAGGTTGGCTGTGCAAGGGAGCAGGGGTGGGGCGGTGCAGGGGCAGGGTCTCCGTGTGCAGGGCTGGGCTCCTCAGCTCTTCCCAGGAGAAAAACAGCCTCAGACATTTGTTGCTTCTTGACTGAGAACCTGTCCCCAGGAGGCAGCTGTCTGAAGCTAAAGACGAAGAGTCCCGAACACTCAGTATAAAGACATCTCAGAGTCCCACCACGACTCCTTCAAATGTCTAAATTCTGAGAAGTCCTGGGACACAGTCCTCTCCCCTTTGCCTCAGCCCCAATCCCAGGCCCCCGGGTGTCACCTTTTCAAGAGTCCAGAGAGGAGTCAGAGCTCTGGGAACTGTCCCTTTCTGCAGAAGAAGAAATGACAAGGAGACTGAGAGCCTGTGGCTGCAGGAGGAATTATGGGCTGGCGGGGCTCCCATCCGCTCCGGCTCCAGCCCAAGGGCCTCGGGGACAGTTCCCCCCACACTTACCTACAACTTGACCATAGCCTCTTTTTCCACCTGTGAGAAGAAAAGCCATGAGAGACCAGGGAAGTTCCCCACCCTAGGAAGTTTCCAGAACCTACAGAAGTCCCAGGTTAGAGACAGGAGCTGTGGGGGTGTGGATTGTTTCCATGAGCAGAGCACACTTCTAAAAGGGGATGGGAGGGAATTCGGACCCCGCCCTTTCCTACCTGCTTTTCCCTTCCTCTTCCTCACAACAGCCACCACAGCTCCAATGATGGTCACAGCTCCAAGGACAAACAGAACAGCAATGACTGGCATGATGGGGACAGTGGACTGAGGAGGCTCTGGGAAGGGAAGGACAGGAAGGGAAGGTGAGGGTCATGACCCCAGCTCTCAGCCCTGACCCTGCTCAGGCTCTGCAGAAGGCTCCGTCTTTCCCTGACCCCAGCTCTGCACCCACTCCCTCCTTACCCCATCTCAGGGTGAGGGGCTCAGGCAGCCCCTCATGGTGCACATGGCATGTGTATTTCTGCTCCTCCCCAGAAGGCACCACCACAGACGCCCACTTCTGGAAGGTTCCATCCCCAGAAGGTCTGGTCTCCACCAGCTCCATGTCCTGAGTCTGTTCCTCCTCCTCCCTCTGCCAGGTCAGGGTGATGTCAGCAGGGTAGAAGCCCAGGGCCCAGCATCTCAGGGTGACATCACCTTTAGGTCCAGGATGATGGGTCACATGTGCCTTTGGGGGATCTGTGTGGAAGATTTAAGAAATCCCACAATAACAAGGTAAACTGAAGACTAAGTTAAATCAATGATGACACTGAACTATAGCATCTCAGGGTGACATCACCTTTAGGTCCAGGATGATGGGTCACATGTGCCTTAGGGGGATCTGAGGGGAAGAGTTGGGAAGATCAGGCACCTTGCTTTCTCCTGGGGACTCAGCAGTGCACATGTGACCATTCTGGGAATGGACCGCAGAACTGGGGTGGGGTTAGAGTGTGTGCATATATTAATAGACCCCAAGTAGAGGAGACACTGGGGCAGTCTCCTCTTTGGGGTGTGCTAGGATGTGTGGGTGACAGTAGGGGGGCTTCAGGCTCTGCATCTACAGACTAATGGAGGAGAAGGGATTTCTGGTCCTGAGCTGAGGGAGGGGCAGGAGACTCAGAAAAGCTGGAGTCAGACTCCAGAGACACTGGAGGAGGCCTGAGAGAAAACAAAACAAAAACAACTCCTGTGGAGCTGGGCGGTGGTGGCGCAGGCCTTTAATCCCAGCATTCGGGAGGCAGAGGCAGGCGGATCTCTGTGACTTCGAGGCCGGGCTGGACCGACAGCCTCCAAAACAATACAGAGAAACCCTGTCTCATAAAGCCAAAAAAAAAAAAAAAAAAAAAAAAAAAAACAGCCAAAAAAAAAAAAACACCTGGGCGTTCATCAAGGCTGTAAAAGGATTAGTTTCCCTATGAGGAAAAACAGCCCGACTCTCCCTCTCCCTCAGTCCGGCGCCTGCTGGACAGTTCACCCTCTGAGCGTGCCCTCAAGCCTTTTGCCCACTCTATGGAGGATAAGCGCGTTGGGGTCTCCAGGTACCTGAGCGCAGCAGCGCTGCCTTCCCCAACTCCAGGTACTTCTGGAGCCACTCTATGCAGGGGCCCTGCAGGTAAGCCCTCTGGTGGTGGGCCTCGCCTACTTTCTCTGACTTTTGCTTAGAGATCTGAGAGGCCAGGTCAGTCGCAGTCCAGGAGCGCAGGTCCTCGTTTAAGGAGATGTAATCGTGGCCGTCGTAAGCCTCCTGACAGTACCCGCGGAGCAGGCGTTCATCCGGCCCCAGGTCGCAGCCGTACATCCACTGCAGCGTGTGCGGCCCTGGCGGGGACACGATGGTCAGTGCCACCTTGCTGTCACCCTACCCCACTGCCAGTCCATAACCCGACCTTGAAAAAAACAAGAAATGCAACCGAAACCTAAGCGAAACTCTGCAGGGTCTTTCCTGTTTGAGGCTCCGGGCAGGTGTTTGGATGAAAGTTCGACCCAGCAGCGGGTCAAGAAGATCCACGCCCGTCCCGGGGGGCTTGGAAGGGTCGTGTCTGTGATCCGGCCACTCACCATCGCCACTCTGATTGTAGTAGCCCAGCAGGGTCTTGAGGTTGGATCTGAAGTTCTTTCCTGTGTTCCTGGCTTTCCGCGTCTCCTCCTCCCAGTAACCCGGCTCCTCCGGCTCCATCCACGGCGCCCGCGGCTCCATCCTCGGGTTCTCCGCGTCGCTGTCGAAGCGCACGAACTGCGTGTCGTCCACGTAGCCGACGATAATGAACCGGGGCTCCCCGAGGCCGGGCCGGGACGCGATGGTGTGGAAATACCGCAGCGAGTGCGAGCCTGGGGGAGGCGGGCGATGAGACCCCGACCTCCTCCCGGGACCCCGGTGTAGGCAGGGGAGACACCAGGGGTGAGAGCCGCGGAGATACACTTCCGGGATAATTGTCTCCCCCACCCCACCCGGCGCCCTGCTCCTTTCCGCAGAATTCTTTTCGCTCCCCACCCCTTACTCACTCGCCTGGGTCTGGGTCAGAAATAGGGTCAGAATCAGGAGGAGCTGGGGCCTGGGAGCAGTAGCCATGGTGGTCATTACCCGGACCCTGTGAAGAGTGAACCGTGTTCCTGTTGACTAGTATACTTTGGAAACAGTGTCGCTGATTGGCTGCTCTAGAGACCAGGCGTCCAACAGGAATGAGAGTTGAGCCTGCATCATTTGTGTCCAGGGAGAAGCCAGCCAGGATTGCGAGAAAAAAGTGAAACCGTGTGTGGAAAACCAGTAAGAGCCTTTACACGACCTGGGACCTCAGCCGGACCCGTGCCCTCTTGGCACTCGCAACGCTTGAGCGCAGTGTTTCTCTGAGTCTCGGTGTAGAGTCTATGCAAGCTTTGGTTCTTTTAATTTATTTTAATTATGTCCGTGTGTTTTTGTGAGTATGCGTGCAGTGCCCCAGGAGGACCGAAGATTTCCTGGAGCTGGAGTTACAGGTGACTGTGAACTCCGTGTGAGTGCGGGATCCCATCCTCAGGTTCTTTGTAAGACCTAGTTATACCCTGAGCCATCTCTCCCGTCCGTGGGAGGATTCTTTTTAATACTTTGTTCCGTGGAATCTTATATATTACACCACAGCGACGTAAGTGTAGTTATGAGATGGTTGATTATAACGTGACCCCGTCACTGAATGTTTCTATTCTATTCTATTAAAACCACGGCGGGGGAGGGGGCGCACTGGAGAGGTCACTCAGAGGTTAAGGCTGCTCTTCCACAGGTCCTGAGTTCAATTTTCAGCAACCGCATGGTATCTCTCCGTCTATAATGGGTTCTGGTGTGCAGGCATACGTGCAGAAACAGCACTCATACATTAAAAATAAATAATAAATATAAAAAAAACCCACTGGGCTTGAGGCTGGAGAGAGAACCCAGCAATCAAGAACACTAGATACTCTTGCGGAGCGCCAGGGTTCGATCCCCAGCACCTACATAGCGGCTCCCAGCTGCTTGCAACTCCCTCTTCCGGCCTCCTGGGCACTGCAGGCATGTGACAGACTTGCTTCCAAACACTGTTGGGTCCATCTTCCAACGAGGTCTATAATGATGGATCATTTAGGAGGTTTACTTGATTCAGGTAATCATTAATATTTGAAACAGGCCCTTGTAATGTAGTCTGAGCTGGACTTTAGTTGGTATTCCTCCTGGGGAAGGAGAAAACCAAGCAGGGTCAAGTGGTATGGGCTTAGTTTAGGAACAGGGGAAAGAGACACATTGAAAAGAAGGGAGGGCCGGGCGTTGGTGGCCCACGCCTTTAATCCCAGCACTCGGGAGGCAGAGGCAGGAGGATCTCTGTGAGTTCGAGGCCAGCCTGGTCTACAAGAGCGAGTTCCAGGACAGCCTCCAAAACAATACAGAGAAACCCTGTCTCAAAAAACCAAAAGAAAGAAGAAAGAAAAAAGAAGAGAAGAGAGAATAGGGGAGGGGGTGTCAGTAATCACCTAGGACACAAATCTGTCTGCGAGAGAGGTTCCAGATTAGCTTAACTGAGGTGGGAATAAGTGTGGCACCATTCCCCAGGCAGTGGTCACAGGCTGAGGTCATAGGCGAGGGGGGGGTTGCTGGGCAAAGAACTCAACCCCTGGCCTTCCTGGTGGTGACTGCACTGTACTAGCCACCTCCTGTACCTGCCACCATGCTGTCCCCTTCATGATGGCCTGTATCTCCTGGGGCCGGCCAAAGTTAGCCTTGTTGGGTATCTGGTAACAGCAATGACAAAACTAACAAATGCAGACATTCACTATCTTGAGTGGGGGTCAGTGCTGGGATAAACCAGATCTCACTACAGATGGTCTACAGATGGTTGTGAGCCACCGTGTGGTTGCTGGGAATTGAACTCAGGACCTCTGGAAGAGCAGCCAGTGCTCTTAACCTCTGAGCCGTCTCTCCAGCCCCAGAAAAGAGTTTTTTTTCCCTCAATGAATACTGACGTGCTGCCGCGGTGGGCAGGATTCACAGTGGACAGGGGTAGCACCGGGGAGCTGACTGGTTTGGATCTCATGCTAACCAAATACACAGGCTCATGGAGCACTCTGAAGGGTGGCGCCAGGAAGGAAACTCAAGACTCAGTTAGGGGATCTAGGAAACACGTGACTGAACCCATGCAGGGCGGCAGAGCCAAGGGAGAAGACAAACGGAAAATAACAGAACCGCTAATGGTGGTCAGTTTATGGAGGCTCCCAGGCTGAGTGGCAGCTTATACAGATGGAGGAAGGCAGGAAACGCGAGTGAGTCCCTGGTCCCCCTCTACATCTCAACCTGAGGACCTAATAGGGTGTGGCGGGGACAATGGGGAAGGATAGGAGCAATGTTATCTATTGTACTACAAAGACTCATTTATATACCAAATTGGAGAACCTGCATTCATATGGCACAAATTGCCCAGTCGGAACATGGTAAGAGAATGATGTATGATGAACAACCCCTTGGGGGACCTGTAAGAGAAACTCCAGAATTAAAAGGCAGAGGGCCTTGTAACCTCGGGTTCATTTTGTTCTCTGCACTGTTCCTGGACGTGATTTCCTGCCTCCTACGATAAGCATTTACATTCTGTTTTTAGGACACGGATTATTCTTTTTTTTTTTTTTTTTTTTTTTTTTTGGTTTTTACGAGACAGGGTTTCTCTGTATTGTTTCGGAGGCTATCGGTCCAGCCCGGCCTCGAACTCACAGAGATCCGCCTGCCTCTGCCTCCCGAGTGCTGGGATTAAAGGCGTGCGCCACCACCGCCTGGCAGGACACGATTATTCTTGTTGGATGATGATAGACATAGCTATAGAACCCAATCTGGTCAGTCTTCCCTGAATCTGGATATGACCCAAGTTCTCCCTGGTATAATCCATAGTGCGGGCCAGGCAACTGTGTTTATTTAAACTGGTCTGTCCTGAGAAAGCTCTGGGGGAAGGGCTGTTCTATTAATATTTAGCATGTGCTTACTGACATTTATTTACATGTTTTTCTGAAGGCAAACAGCCTTCCTTGGATCATTCCTTTCTTTGTAACACTCATGTGTAAAAGTACACTGAAAGTGAAGTAAAGTTGTCTGCAGCCTCTTTCTTGCAGGTCCTTGGATCCCAGGTCTGGCAGACACAGGTCTGCACAGGTTGACAAAGGTTGACAGTGCCCAAAGAGGCCTGCAGAGGGCGTCAGATACCTTGGAACTCGAGTTACAGATGGTTGTGAGCCAATATGTGGGTGCTGGGAATTGAACCCGGGTCCTCTGGAAAAACAGCATTAAAGAAATAATGATCAGAGTTTAAGGCAAGGAAGCCTGTGACCTTGACTAGAACCCAAGTCCTCTCTCAGATGGTCTCTGGGAGTCTCAGGTTGTTAACATGTCCACAGAGGAGACGTCCTTCCTTCCTGCATCCCTGTGGTCTAGACTCACCTTAACAAGTGTAACCCTGCCAGGTGTCCCCCAATACCCATCTTCTGATCTCACGTAGGTTCCTTAGCACCATGATTGAGGCTAATAGCTTCAAAACTCATCCCAGTAGTGTGTACAGCTGTTTGTGAAGACAGCAAAGTGTGACAAGCCCACACATATGCTCTTAGTATGGCTTCCTTCTTTCTTTATTTCTGTTTTTTTTTTTTTTTTTGAGACATGGTTTCTCTGTGTAGCCCTGACTGTCATGGAACTCACTCTGTAGACCAGGCTGGCCTTGAACTCACAGAGATCCGCCTGCCTCTGCCTCCCCAGTGCTGGGATTAAAGGCATGCACCACCAACGCTGGCTCCTTGGCACCTTTCTTAATTCTTTTATTGGTTCTTTTACATGGCACCTCCTAGGCAGTCTGTTGCGTCAAAATAAAGATGAATATCTCCAGTCAGCAGCCGTCAGGAACTCACGGAAGTGGACGAGGAATGAAGCTTTGTTCTTTGTCGTGAGAATTGGATGTCACAGAGGTAGCTGATGATGCCCTGGTGAATAGTGGAAGGACTACACAGTCCAAAGGACAAATGAGGTTTCCATGAAAGCAAGGAGTCTAGACCCACAGCAGAGTGCCCCGCTTCTGAGTAAGGGACATTCTTGTTACAGACCAAGGGAAACTGGACAGAGGAGGTCCAAGTCTGTTCACAGATGCTCTGTGGGGGCCAACCTGGGTTTCTCAACTTGGCTGTTGTAAGCAAAGACGGCAAGGAGGTTCCCTCACTGACAGATACTGCTACGTCTCGGTGGCTGGGGTCCAAAAGAGTTGCAGAATCTGAAGGCTTTCTAAAGAAGCTGATGACGCTGACCAATACATTGTCAGAATGTAAATAAAGAAGGTGAGAAGCTCAGGACCAACACACCCAAGATTCAGCACCTTGTTACTCCATGCGATCTTGTGACAAAGACGCAGATGTACCGTTCTGGAGAAATAGCACACTCGGGGACATGAGGATGAGTCTGCAGAACACACTAAATGTTTGGCAGAGAGAATGAAGGAAACCCAAGGGGGGAAGAATGCCAGGAACAGACCCACAAGAGACGCAGGCTGTCTTTACCGAGAGCTTCTACTTACTCTAAGTCTATTAAAATGGGTCTTTATAAGTAACACAGAAGTGATCAGACCTTCAAAAGTACCTTTATTGGGACAGAGAGATGACTCAGTGGGTGAAGGCGCTTGCCTACAGGCGTGTCATCCCTGAGTGCCATCCCTGGACCTACATGGTGGAAGAAGAGAACAGACTCCGGCCAGTTGTCCTGTGGCTTCCACACATGAGGTGTGGTTTCTCTCTCTCTCTCTCTCTCTCTCTCTCTCTCTCTCTCTCTCTCTCTCTCTCTCTCTCTCTCTGTCTCTCTGTCTCTCTCTCTCTCTCTCTCTCTCTCACACACACACAATAAAAATTTTATGCCACCTTAAAATTAAAAAAAATAGAAAAATGTTTATTAAACCCCAACTCTAGTAGCCCATAATCCTTTTCTGCACCAAAGCCAAAGATCCCGGTTAGACCCGGGTGAAGGTCCCTAAAAGATTAGGGGTGCCACTCAGGGAGCCCTGGATGTGGGGAAGGAGCTTTGTCTCCAACCCTGTGCCCTGTGGCAAAATACCTGATGGGAAGCCACTTAGGGAAGCGACAGGTGTCAGACCCTCAAGACAGAAAGGTGGGACCTGTTACTGTTCACGGTGGCAGGAGATGGCCTGCTCATGTCCTGGTTAGGGGACAGAGGAAGGGGGACTCCAGTGTCCTGCTGGCTTTCTCTTGAGACTCCAGCCCATGAGTGGAGCCACCTTATAGTCAACGTGGTGTGGTTCTTTCCTCCTCGGTTAAACCTGGCTAGAAACACCCTCACAGACACACCCAGAGGGGCGGCTCCTGGGTGATGCTAAGTCCAGTCAAGTTAACTGTGAAGATGTCTGGTGAATGCCAGGCGTTGGTGGCCCACGCCTTGAATCCCAGCACTCAGGAGGAGGCAGAGGCAGGAGGATCTCTGTGGGTTTGAGGCCAGGCTGCTCTACAGAGTGAGTTCCAGGAAAGCCAGGACTGATTCACTGAGAAACCCTGTCTCCAAAACAAAACATTCTGTAGTACCTGTTTCAGGCACTTCCCCCTGGGGTGGGGTGGGGGAGTGGAGGGGAGGTGGGGGCTTCCCTGGGTGAGGAGACTAAGCCCAGACTTCTGAGTGGTGGGAGGACAATCAGATCACCCTGTCTGGAGAAGTGGTCTGGATGATTCCTACAGAGTTCAGTCTTCCAAAAGGGAGTGACCATATCCTACAAGATACAGGGCAGATGTCATTGTAAAGTGGTGACATTCTGAATAGCTTACTCCTCACTCAAAACGTCCAAGTGAAAAGACTCTCTCCAGCCCAAACATGTGTCCCCTGTCTTTCCCTACATGTCACCTCAACATCCATGGCCATCTCGCCAGAGTCCTGGCCACTGTCCCTGCCTAGAAAAGAATAGAGCAGGACCTGGTCAGGCTTCAGAAGGCTGGAGGTGAAGGTGGGGGGGACTCTGGGCCGGGTGAACTCTCATGGACCCCAAGGGTCTCAGGGGACCCCTCTCAGGACAGTTACCTTCTTCCTGAGTGTGGCTCTTTCCTCTCCCACCCGAGGAAAGAAAGCCATGTGTGGGTGGCATGGAAGCAGACTCCAGAGACCTCAGATGTGGGCAGAGAACTGGGCCTGAGCAAGGCTATGGCCCACACAGCACTGCAGACTAAAGGTTACTGCCTTGGTCATTTCAGGGACTTTCTCTCCTTCCCTGCTGAGACACACTCTGAACTGTCCTGACAGAAGGGTGAGCCCTGGGAGAGCCAGTCTCTCATAAAGGGTCAGGAGACCCTATAGAACTTCCCACCTCCCGTATTTGAGAGATAGGAAGACAGGTGGATATTATGTCCAAAGGACAGACACCCAAAACTTGTCTTAAAGCCAGGAAGGAGACAATGGTGCACACTCTCCACCTTTGTATTTAATATAGTGATGATTTTATTTAACCTGTCAGAAGTAGACAGAAATTTGGCATAAAAGGGATCAAAGTAGGACAGGAAGAAATCACACTGACCCTACTTGCAGACAACTTGGTTCTTTACTTAAATGACCTTGTTGAGTCCACAGGAAAACTCTTGGACCTAATAAACACTCATGGTTGCCAGATATACAAATCAATATGAAACGTAGTCTTCATTTATCCCAGCAGTGTATTTTAGGAAATGTAACTAGCAACTCCACTAGAATTAAGTGTTTAGAGATATGTCCAACAAAAGAAATGAGAGAACTACCACAAAAAGTTTAAAATCCGACACAGATTTAAACTTCATAGAAGACATTGTCAGAATCTGGAAAGACAATCCTTGCTCCTGGATTGACAGAGTTAATATTGGGAAAATGGCCATACAAATTAATACATTGATATAATCTGCAATATTTATAAAACTGATATATTCTATACTTTAGAATTAATGAATTTGTATGGAATGACAACAGACCATAAACAGCCAAACAATGTTAAGTTGGTGTACTCCCAACCTCAGTGCAGAGCTACAGTAATAAGACAGCATGGAACTGCAATAAAATAGAAAAATCCAAGGCATAGGATAGTGCTCCTGGAAATAAAATGACAAAGCTACGCATATTTAATTTTCAACAAAGAACACAAAACACATATTCGAAAAGAGCCCATTCCACACATGATGCGGCAACACTGCTTTTCTGGCTGAGAAGATGAATTTAGAATCTCACCTCCCACCTTGTACAAAATTTAACTTGAAATAAGCAAAGACCTTATTAAGTTCAAGACTTGAAACACCCAGAGTTCAGTTCAAGAGGACCACTTAGGGGATACCCTTCCAGATACTGGGGTAGACAAGAACCTCAGAATAGGACAATACCACAGGAGCTCATTAGGCCACACATCAGCATAAAGATACAGTGTCTTCACAGCCCAGGACACAATCAGCAGAGGGGACAGAAGCCACAATAGGGGAAACCTGTACCAGCTGGACTTCGGACAAGGGACTAGAGCCCTCAGTTTACGGAGAATTGCAGAAACTAAACACCACGGAACTAACATTGTCAATCAACCAACTGTGAAGAGAACTGTTACCTTAATAACATGAAAAGCAAAAATGTCCACTAATATGTTTAGTGTTTTCAGTATCTCTAGCCATCATGAAAATGCAGATTAAACTACTTTGGAGGCTGGAGAGTTGGTTCATAGGTTGATGCTCTTGCAGAGGACCTGGTTTAGACTCACTGGACATGACTTGAGTCCAGGGAATCTGACACCCTCTCTGACCCCAGACACCAGGGACACACAGGGTCCACATTTACACGTGCAGGGAAAACACTCATCCCCATAAAAGAATGAAAGAAAAATGAAAGTTAAACTGCTTTGTGATAGCACTTCACCCCAGTCAGAATGACTGTCACCAAGAAATCTGACAGCAAATCCTGGAGAGGACATGGAGAGAGAGAGAGAGCCCTGCTACTCCCCCCCTCTCTCCCCCTCTCCCTCCCGCCAATGTGTGTGTGTGCTCAAATTAACACAGTCATTGTGGAATTATTTTTGATATTTACTAAAAAAGTAATAAAAAAGCTCCCATATGACCTAGCTATTTTATTCCTGGCCATAAGTCCACACCCTACGGGTAAGATATTTACAACTCATGGTTGTTTTTGATTTAGTCACTAATCATTGGATTTAACCCATCAACAGATGAGTAGATAATGGAAATTTGGTACACATATAAAATGGAATACCATTTGGCTCTAAACAACCTTATCACAATATACACAGGAACATGGATGAACTAGCATGTACTGTATTAAGTGAGCTCACAGTCTCGAAAGAAAAACTACACTGTCTTTCCTCAAAGGCGGCCTACAATATATGTACATATGTAAATAACTGTACATAGTGTGTATAGTATAACCTGACTAAAAGACAACAAGAAAGTCTAAATATTGCGGATGAGGAAAGATTGACCACCGGTACTTTTTGGACGCAGTTCATAAAGCTAATTGTTTTCTAGTTATATATCTGTCATGGATTTTCTTTCTAACTTCCTTCATATTTTTTTCTGCCTGTTGGTGCTGGATACGTGAATGCAATATATTTGATATGGAATGTATAAAATCCAATTTGAACCTCCACAAGATCAATATGGCTATACCAAGTATATATATTCACTGAGATGTACAGCCTCTGTTGTGGTTAATTTCAAATTGTGATTTTTCGTGTATTGAAGTTAAGAAAATTAGAAATAAGTAGAGACAGGGGCGGCACCCCAGCTGAAGTCAGTTTTGAGCCCAGCCCGAGGGCAGGGGGAGGAGTTGCCCTGGGCGCCTGCACCTGTGCGCAGCAGCTGCTCCTTCCCGTGCTCCAGGTGTCTGTGGAGCCACTGCACGCACTGTGCCGTCCTCCAGGTAGGCCCTCATTCTCTCTCCAACACAAGCCTGCTTGAACTTGTGCCGGGTGATCTGTGCTGCTGTGTTTGCCGCTGCCCACGTCCTCAGGTCCTCGTTCAGGGCGATGTAATCGTCGCCTTCATAGGCAGACTGACTGTACCCAAGGAGGAGGCGTCCGTCCGACCCCACGTGACAGCCGACCATAGTCTGGATGGTGTGAGAGCCTGGGGAGACAGCACCTCCCACTCATTAACCATGCTGAGACCTCTAAACTGAAAGGGAAAACGGGTCCTGGTCCCTATCTCCTCTTCCTGGACCTGGAACTTGGAACCCCAGGGGACTTCGGGCCTTATATAGGGACTTGAAGGTCGTAACCTCCGACCCGGGGTCACTCACCTTCCTCACTCTGGTTGTAGTAGCCAAGCAGGGTCCTCAGGCTCACTCGGAAACTCTGCTCATGGCCCTTGGCTTTCAGTGTCTCCCTCTCCCAATACTCCGGCCCCTCCCTCTCCATCCGCGGCGCCCGCGGCTCCATCCTCGGATTCTCCGAGTCGCTGTCTAAGCCCACGAACTGCGTGTCGTCCACGTAGCCGACAGCGAAGAACCAGGTCTCCCCCGAGGCCGGGCCGGGAGGAGATGGTGGAGAAATATAGCATGGAGTGCGAGCCTGGGGGCGGAGCGCGGTGAGACCCCGGCTTCCTCCCGGGACCCCGGGCAGGTGCGCGGCCGGGAGGGGAGCGGGGCGCGGGGCTCAGGACGCGGGAGGGGAAGGGGCGGGAGGGTCTGGCCGGGCGATGCGGGGCCGCGGCTTCCCCGGTGCCGCCCCCCGCCCTCCCCGCAGACGCCGTTTCCCCTCCCGACCCCGCACTCACCCGCGCGGGTCTGGGTCCGGGCTAGGGCGGCCGCCAGGAGCAGGAGGGTACAGAGCACAGGGATCCCCATCTTCAGGGTTAGTGTGAGCCAAAGCACAGCCTTGTTGTAATTTGTTTTCACAGAGACTTCTATCCTGTTCTCTAGGAGCCTAGTCTCATGGTTGTGACATTGCTGTCACACTGGGGTCCAACTTGACAGCCACTGACAGAGCAAGAAGTGAAACTAAAAGCCTATCCTTCCCAACTGGAACCCGACCTTCAAGCTCTTAATCCCAGAAAGCAATTCTGAGGACTTGAGACTTTGTCCTGGAGCCCTGTGTATTACACTGTATAACATTGTCTCTGTGAACCCTGGCCCAGAGCCAGTCTGATGGTAATCCCAGGGAAACAATCTGCGTAAACACAGTTGTTTTGCTCTTTCCTGTCTCAACTCCCAAATCTCCACGATGACCCTGAGCTGCTCAGGAATGCAGGGGAGACATGATTTCTCTTTAAAGCAGAGGCCCTGGCCTGCAAGCACCACACAGATTCCCACAGACACCAGGCTCCTGTGTCCACCTGCAGGGGGCGCTCACACTGCCAAGCCTGACTGGTTGGGAATCTGAGTTCTCCATTTGTAAATGAATGGGTTGAACAGTCACGTGCAAGACCCAGAGTCTCCACGTGTTTCTTCCCAGATGAGGCATCTCTGGCCCCAGTTTTACTTTAGGATGATCTTTGTGAGAAGCCAGAGCATAGCTTCAACTCAGCTGTCCCCTTCCCTGCAGTGCCTGAATGCAGCCCACATTGCACTTGTCACTGTGTAGATGCTCCTATGACCTGGTTTAATTAATAACTTGGTCACACGAAGAAGTGAGCAATCGGGACTGGAGAGATGGCTCAGCAGTAAGAGCACTGGCTGCTCTTCAATTCCCAGGACCCACATGGCAGTTCACAACTGTCTGTGACCCCAGTTCCAGGGGAAACAACACCCTCATACCAGTGCACATGAAATCAAATAAAGTATTTAACAGAAAGACGTGAACAGTTTCACGGAGCAGGCCCCTCCCACCCACAGCTGTCTGTCCCGCACTCACACTCGCAGTGATGACACAGGAGCTGATGAGAGCAGGAAGATGGATGTGCATGGTGTGGACAGTGGATCTGAACACTGAGTGGACCCTGAGTACCTCAGCCCTGTGCAGTGTGGACAGTGGAGCTGAACACTGAGTGGACCCTGAGCACCTCAGTCCTGTGCAGTGTGGACAGTGGAGCTGAACACTGAGTGGACCTTGAGCACCTCAGCCCTGTGCAGTGTGGACAGTGGAGCTGAACACTGAGTGGACCCTGAGTACTTCAGCTCTGGACACAGGGCTGAGAATGATTCTTGTGCTGGGTGGCATAGACTGGCAGGACAGAGATCTCATTAGACAGAAAGGTCAAATCTAGAATGTAATGCCACTTTTATCTGTCATGTGTGACTTGTTATTTTCAGACCTCAGCTAAACAAGGTTCACTAAAACTGTAGAAAGTACCCTCCGCAGAGACACAGGGTTTATCCAGGATACAGACTTCTGGGATTCACAATCACGTGGACCAGAATCCTGACCCATCTTCCTGAAGTCACTCCACGCTGTCACTTTTAACCACTATGACTTTCATTGTTTTCCTCCTATTTCTGTCCCCAGCCCCTACCTTCTGCAGAGGTCATGACCTCAAACCACACAACTCAGCCCTTGGTGATGACTGCAGACTCTTCCTGCCCTGACTCCTGCCATGCAGGATGCGCTTTCTCAGCCACTGCACTTATGGAACCAGTTAACAATTTCCTCCATATAACAGTTCTTCTCTTTTATTGTTGTTGTTTTTATTTATTTATGTATTCATTTATTTTTGAGATAAGGTCCCATTATGTAGCCTTAGCTGGCTTAGAACTCTCTATGGAGACTAAACTGGCCTGGAAACTGTTTGCTAGTGTCTCCCAATGGCTAGCATTAAAGTTATGAACCACCATACCTGTTTCCATACACGTTCTCTGTGGAATCCCTCTCAGGGTGGACTTGTGCCTTCCCACGTTCTCCTGGCATCATGTACACAAATGTCCTTTCTTCACATTGTCTTGCCAGTGGAGGGCACAGTCTTGCCAAATGTAGGCTTTTTGAACAAACCACTATTTTGAATTAAGGCCACGGGAAAGTCCACACTTCTGAGATAAAAAGAATCTCCATCTGCAGTCCAATTCCAGGGCCACATACAGTGCCTCAGGCAAGCACCCCTGTCATGATGAAAAATCTCTAATAAACAGTGTCCATTCAATCCATCAGAACACTTCCTAGTCCCACCCCTCCTGTCTCCTTCAGAAGACTCCACCTCCTCTCAACTCTCTTCCCAGTCCTCTCTCCAGTCACCAGCAGCTGTCCTCACAGGCTGCCCAGGGTTCCATCTGCACTGGGAAACAACAGCCCTGGACCCCAGCCCCAGATTCTTGGCTTCATGCTGCAGGTTCCTCCCTTCTCAGTGTGGCTTCTTCCCTCTCCCCTAATTCCTCAGGAGCATTTTCCTGTGTGATCTAATGTCTGCCTTGTCTCTGTCACAGGGAAGATGTTGTCACCACTGTGCTAACCAGTCCTGATCTCTAGCTTGCCTGGAGGAACCAACTCCTCCTGCTGTTCCTCCTTGAGATCTCTTTACATTAAGAGCTGCTCATCTAGGTCTCTCTTAGTCTTCTCAAGCTCATATGAGGGCATGGATAGAAACACATGCTCACCCCACACCTTTTCAGCATAGCATGCCGGCTTCCCTTTGTAGCCTCATTGCTTCCTGTGGTCTATGATTCTGTGAGCATGGCTGTTTCTTTCCAATGTCATATAACGGTTTCAACTGCTGCTCAAATTTACCCTCACTTTCTCAGGATGGGTTTGGTTGTTGCTGCTAATGCACACAGAAACCTCTGTCACTTTCAAGGCATCCCTGTAGTCCTCATCAACACAGAGATGTCTGAGGACGGCCTGGAATTTCCCCCTCAGGACCCACAGAGAAACCTCTGTCACTTTAAGACATCCCTGTAGTCCTCATCAACACAGAGATGTCTGAGGACGGCCTGGAATTTCCCCCTCAGGACCCACAGCCACACCTGGAGTCAACTCTACCTTCTGGTGTCTTTCTCACTGCACACATTACTGTTCAAACTCAAGACCTCAGAAGCCTCAGGCTTCCTGAAAGACTAAGGGAAGAAGTCAGAGACCTCCAGGAAGCTCAGCATTTCACCCAGGCAGGGTTGGATTGTCAGGTGCTGCAGGAAGCAGCGGTGTTGGTGCACATTCAGGACAGAGAAAACCCATGTCCTGGTCAGGGCTGAGGTGACCAACTTCTGAGGCACTGTCTGCTGCTTTCCCTGGCTGTCTTCAAAGGTGGGGATGGCCAGCAGCCTTCCTCCAATTCCAGCACTCACTGTTACAGTCTGCAGAGCAGCTGAGCATGAGTCACTGTGTCACGCCAACAGGCCACCTGTCACACAGAAACCTCTCTCTGGATTCCTTGGAGTTCAAGCTTCACTCCAAGGCCCACAGCCAGCTCAGGGCCGCAGCATGACCACAGCATCCAGACCGGACATGGCTCACCTGGAGGCAAGGGGCCATGGAGAGCTGAGAGTTGATGAGGAAAGGCACCAAGAAGGCAGCCAGGTGACAAGAGGTGAAGTCCTCCCTGCTGTCAACTTTGACCTCAGCTCCTCTGGGACAGCTACAAGTCCTCAGAGTCTCCTGGGCTCTTGGTGTCCAAGACCAGCTCCTGCAGCTGGAGGCCCTGTGAGACTCAGCACCCTGTAGACTGCACTGCACAAGGTGGGCTGTTGATGGCCTTTTGATGGCTTGGTGGCTTTCTTGAGGCAGACAATCCAAGCTCCTGGACTGACATTCTTAACATGGTAACAATGGTCATTCTGATACATTTCACATTTAGGAAACAATACAGGGAATCATCTAGACTCACAAAAGACCACAAATGTCAAAAATTTAAAGGATTAAGAACACCGCTGGAGGTTTATGCTACTAACCTCAGATTATATTGCAGTTATGGTGACAAGACAGCCTGTATGTATTCAGTGGGCATTAGCTCCTCCTATGTCCTTGGGCTGTTGAGGGATAGAGGAGCTCTCTCTCTGTGGAGGTCAGAGATTGGACTGCCAGAACAATCTCCTTGGAGCAGAACAGAAGACCTTGGCCATTAGCTACCTTATTGTTTATTTGTGAGTGTATTTTTTTTTTTTTTGGTTTTTCGAGACAGGGTTTCTCTGTATTGTTTTGGAGGCTGTCCTGGAACTAGCTCTGGTAGACCAGGCTGGTCTCAAACTCACAAAGATCCTCCTGCCTCTGCCTCCCGAGTGCTGAGATTAAAGGCACCGCCCGGCTTCGTGAGTGTATTCTAATAAATGCTAAATGTCCCCTTAAACGAGCTCTCCTGCATTCGCCTACATTTGGCGCCCACGTGGGATCAGCCTCCAGCCTCCACAGCTGTTGGCAAGCGTCTTATGCCCCCTGATCCCCAAGCGTTCCCAGTTTGGGTCCCTGGGAGGCAGGATTCCCGATCTGCCCTGCGCACTGGCTGCACTCCACCCACCCTGCCGCCTCCTGAGCGCCCAGGATGGCAAGCATTTATCAATATCCAACAGCTTGATCCCAGCCCAACTGAGCCTAACCCTGGTGCATTCCAGCCTGTCCTTAGCACCTGCTGGCTCTCCTGCCCTGACCCCTGCTGGGCAGAGGCAGAAGGGTAGCCCAGACTCGATTTAAACTCTGCTAGGAGGAAACTGCCTGGGCCAGGGTTGAACTGCATTGGCAGCACCACACCCAGTTCCACAGCCTGTGAGATGCTTCCCCCCGGGCTCATTCTGCCAGCGACTTAGCTGAACCTGCCAGCCACACAGTCCCAGGCCAGCATGAGCCCGTAGGTTGCTCTTTTTCTTTTAACTCCAGGAGCCCAGGTCAGAGAGGATCGAATACCCAATCCACCTGTAACTGACATGGAATAGGGAAAAAAAATCAAAGGAATAGAGATCCCAGAAATAGTGAGAAAATGCACACTTAAATTTAGACAAAGAACGTAAAACACACACTTGGGGAAATATGATTCTGCAACACTGGGTTTCTACCTCAGGAGATGAACTTCAAGTCTCACCTTTCCTCCTTTCTTCCTTCCTTCTTCCTTCCTTCCTTCTTTCTTTCTCTCTTCCTTTCTTTTAATTTTTTTCTTTCTTTCCTTTGCTTCCTTCTGTTATGGTGGAGGTTCCACCCAAGAGGGGGCTCCCATCTCCGTCCAAACCCTGCTGCATCTCAGAAAGCCTGCCAAATACGGCCCCTCCCACAAAGATACTAAAGACCACTCCCACAGGGTATTTAAACTGCCCCCCCCCCAGAGCACAGACTCTTGGTTTTCCTGGTCTCCTTTTCCTGTCTCCTCTCCCGGGGACTGCAAGGCCATCCCAGCATTTTGTATCCATTAAAAGTAAGCTTTTCCTAATTCAGTTTGGTTTGGTCAAATTTGGATTGCTGCATTGGTGGAGAGGTTTATCTGGGTGTAGAAACTTTTCACCTTCCTTTCTTTTT